ATCCATTGCTTGTTTCAGGTTTCTATAGTGAACAATATATTTTGTTTTATGAAATAAATTCGGAATTAGTTTTGGTAATTTGGATAATTAGGAGGTATCATTGATTCCACAAGAAATGGCAAATCTGAGTGAGCGTCATGTAATTCTTCGGGGTAGTATACGTCGACTTCAAGGACATACCCGCATGAATTATCATCTGCGATACTCATGAGATCTAAATCTGCAATTTCCTGAGTAGACAGCCACTTAAAATCAGAGGTTGGTAGCGGTTGAGACATGCTATGGCCATATAAATTGGTTGCGTCTAAATACATAATGTATGATGTGGGCTCATTAGGATCGAAATTTGGTGTGAATTTATTGTTTGCCACATGAGATCTTAAGCTGCATTGGCTTATTCCCCCTCTGATACCTTTTTTGAAAAAATGTATCATGTCTATGTCGGTCAACAACTCCAATTCGATTTTCGTATACCTTAACATAGCATCCCACGATAAACCGGGTGCTGTATAATACTGGCATGGGTCGAGTTTATATGTTTGTAAGCAAACCTTTCGGAAATTCTCGAAAACATCGCATAGTAATAGAACATCCGATTTCAAGTAGACGTCTGAGTATTCCCCAAGCGATTTACATTTGAATAAAGCCCATACTGTCTCAGCTCTTCGATAATCCTCATCAGATATATGTTGATTCGAAAGATTGTCGTAGAAATCATCTTTGGTTGGCAATTCATTATAATTCAATTTAGCCATCGAAGTAATGAAACTATATGGGAAAACGCCTTTCTGTGTCATGACATCGAATTGTCTAGAATCTTGAAAATTTCGTGCAGTTTCTACGAGCTGTTCTGTATTTAAGTTTTGTGCCAGTGTTTGTAGGGGTTGCGAAAGAAATTTGTAACTATCTAAGAATCGCAGTTTCAGAAAAATATTATGAGTCTGACCATCTTTGCCCGAATATTCACCCACTAAAATATGTTTAGTGAATGAGATATACTTCTCCTTGGTTTGAGCTACACAATCCACTTTTTCTTCGCGATCGAAAAGTTCCTTGATGAAGAGGTGGCTATCGTAGCCACTCATGTTGTGGAAAAATATCGGAATGAAATTGGGAACCTTGTAATTCAGATTACATGCAGAATGTGCAGCTCCAAACCTTTTTTTTCCGGTCAAATGGCAGTGATCTCTTACTTTTATATCGCCGTATTCGAAAGTTTTATCGCAAATATTACATGCGGTGGCATTAGCAAAATCTGCCTCTTCAGCTGACGTCAATTTCTTCATTGGAACTATATGTTTCAGGTATGAGTTGTAAATATTTTTCGAGTCGCGAACTACGCTAGATACAAATTTCTTTGCTGCATCCTTTCCACGAAATGAAACAAATTTTGTTATAGAATCATCGTATGAGCATTTAATGATATATGCGAAAGAGTATGGCTCATGTATGAATGTTCTATTAGTAAACGATTTTTTCGGATCTGGCTCGCAAGATTGTATTGGCTTCAAGACTGATTCAAAATCGGCGTATATTACAAAAGGCACCTTCATCTGTTTCTCGAAATTTTCAAATTTAAGAATATTCTCGGGTATCTCATTACCAAATTTATCAACTTTCAATTCAGTTGTGGGCGTCGTGGTCAATGTGAGATTACAGTCGCTCAATCGATGGCGTAACAACTTAGTTTCATTTGAAAAATTCACCAAACACCCATCACACAAATATTTTTTATGTTCAGTGGAGCTCATTTGACTAGACACTAATCTAGATAGATTCTTTATCCAACAATAATGGCTATTTCCAGAATCGTCTGAGACAAGTAATAGATTAACATGCTTACTGAACCTTTTCTTAGCGTAATGGAGTGGGCCAACCACCTGATATTTCACCCTTTGATTCTCAAATATACTCTCTAAACCATAAACGTTGATGGAACAATCGTTCAGAATCTCGAATTTCGGAATATTTTTTACTTTAACAGGAAACTCTATACCCACCAGATTCAAAACCGTAGAGAAATGCGGGTACGAAGACATCTCACAAGGTTTGGTGTTTGTTGCGTACAGTGCAGACGTGACAGCCCAAGCAAAGCAGCATTCATCCTGATTGCGTACATTCACTACCGCCTTCTTGCTCTCGATGAAACCAGGGAGTTTTATGTAGGAACACCCGCGTAGTGGACTATATTTGTTCACATTGATTTCAAGGAACAGTATCTTCTCTAGAGCCCAACCTGTAACAATATCATTATTCAGCTACTATTTTCCATAATCAGATGGGTACTACTCATAGGGAAACAAATCTTGAAATGAATTGAACTTACCGGAATCGCGTTCCTCGAATTCTGTTGCTAGGTTGATAATTATATCCTTGAACGTATCGATGATAGACCCCAAATCCAATGATGAGTCGATTATATGGTTCGGCGTCATGAAGGACTTATTATCACGTATATTCTTGGCTTCAATAACGTATCTACCAAACATTTCCATATTGACTTTGATGGAATGATGAATCGAAAGCATATTCTCCAACAGCAAAGTTATTGTTGATCTATTCTCATTGAAAAATGTATTGTAATCCAATGTTTCACTCCTACATTCTAATCTGTAGCTGATGATGCGACATTTGAATGCGCTCTCAATCACGTATACACCGTTCATGTAATTGGAGCAAGCATTCGTCCGATGTTCCAATGTTCTTTTATGGGCCGCCATCTTATCGGCAGGAATAGTTTTGTCACAACATGCACATATTTCCAAATAAGTAGATGTTGATGGTGTAGCATCTAACCGAGGCTTTTTCGAAAGAGATGGACCAGCACTCCCTATGCATGACACTCTTTGATGGCGTCGTAAGTTATCACTGCGTGAGAACGATTGGGCGCAAACATTACAGAACAACATTCTGGCTGATTAAGATATAAACGCGAGCACTACTCTTAATCGGCGATGCTCAGAAAACTGTGATACATGTGGTTTGATGAAGAATTTATATGTGAAGGAGCTGTGCCATAACGCTCCCTACTACTAACCCACCCCACTTTCACGATAAAGCCTTCAATAGGGGAGGGACAAGGTCGACAACGATTATGCGCATACAAGGTTGGGGGAGGGCATTTCACCAAGGTTATTCCTCTCAAGGTTACTCTTCTTCTCAAGGACACTACACCCCCAAGGTCGACTCAGTCTTCGAGGGCATCAAGCACTCTAATCGGCTACTCCCGAAGTCACCCCAAGATCACCCCAAGGTCGCCTTCAAGGCCACCTCTCAAGGCCACTCCTCTCGCCTTTCAGGGTCACTCCTTTCAAGGTCACTCCTTTCAAGGTCACCCCCAAGGTCACTCCCCTCAAGGTCACTACCAAGGTCACTCCGCCCAAGGTCACCTCCAAGGTCACTCCCGTCCAAGGTCACTCCCGCCCAAGGTCACCTCCAAGGCCACTCCGCCCAAGGTCGCACTCCTCTGGCCTTGGGCGGAGACCCAGAACCGGTGAAAACTATCTACTGTAGCACTTTACAATTCAATTTATAAACACCAGATTTCTCTAGAATATCGATCTTGTCTATTGTGTTAACTAAGGCACTCCCTAGAGTATCGACGTTTTTGAAAGAAAAATTGAAATGGCTGGTTTTATTGGTATTGAGTTTTTTTTTCCAGAATCTTCCTGAATTCAAGGGAAACAGAACCAAAGGAAGAAGTAAAAGAATATTTGGATATTGAAACAGAAGTTGTTACAAAGTTATTTGAAAATTTATTAGCATATTTCATGTGAAGTCGATCAATGTTTAATGATATTCAATTCAGCTGTGAAGTGAAAGGTCTATGAAAAAGTGCATGAAAAGCTGAAAATTGCTGGCTGTAAGGGTGGAACGAATTGAAAGGTTCAATATCATCAGTGTTTGTTGGTTCTCTATAAATTGAAAAGTTTAAAGAATTTGTTTTGTGTATCAAGATATCAAGATAAGGTAACTGATTATTATTAGATTCAATTTCCATTGTAAATTTCATTCTAGGATTACTAGAATTCAAAGAGGAAAGAAAATCATTGAGTTCAAGTAGGGTACCTTTGAAGAGAGCAAGAATATCATCAACATATCGGTGCCAAACATTAATTTTACCAAAGTTGGGGTGCTGAGAAAAGGACAATTTAAAGTTAGACATGAATATTTCAGCTAAAAAGGGACTAAGGTTGAACACATGTCTAAGCCTGATTTTTGATTATAATAGGACTTATTAAAGATCTTCTAAAGAGCAGATATTCAATATATGATGGGTGGGAAGATCAGAATTATTAAAGAGTAATTGTCGGACCAGAAGTAAACAATCATCAGGTTCAATGTTGGGAAATAAATTTGAAACATCAAATGTGACTAAAATGGAATCAGGAGGAATATGAATATTTGAAACTTTCTCTGTCAATTCCAGTGAATTTTTAACAGCAAAGGGGCTAGAGAAATTCATGAGGTTAGGAAGAATTGAACTCAGCCAGGAAGCTGATTTAGAGACCGGAGAATTGATATAAGAGACTACTGGTCTGGTGGGGATGTTCTGTTTGTGAATTTTTAGCAAGCCATACAGTCTAGGAGTTGCAGGGTTCATAGTGGTAAGGTAGAATTTATTGGATTTCAAAAAGGTGATGGTGTCATTCAAATCATCGAAAGTTTTTCTACAAGTGGCTTGAAATTTAACAGTAGGATCAAATCTAATTCTAGTAAAATCTTCATTGTAAGGAAAAAGGTGAACTTTGGCAATATACTCAGTTTCGTACATAATGACTAAACAATTTCCTTTATCAGGTTTAGAAATAATTGCATTATGCGCTGTTGAAAATAGTATTTTTATGTATTTCATTAGGTAATCTTTCGTTTTTTTCTTATAAATTTGCTGATGATGAAGTATATTGATCCTTCGAAACATGTCGTTATGTCCATGACCGTTGGTCAATATTAAATTGTTCATGCTATGCTATTAGATTCGAGCAGATACTCTTACTCACATTTAGCAGCATTCTTCTTCCAAATTCGAATCTACATAGGATGCAAAAGAGGAGAAAAAGAACGGCGAGCACTAGAACATTCCACATGCTCTTTTCAGCATAAAAACATTCAACCTGTATGGGCCTCTTCCCTTCCGTCTCGTAGAAATATCGTTGGGTCCTTTCTATGACTGAGTGGTCTGGTCCTGGCATAGGAACCATCCATCCATCCACCAAATCGTTTCTGAATGGCAATATCCTGAAAAGGGATTCCAAATGTACCAGGTGACACGTTTTAAAGTGCTGCCCCCTATATCTCTTTTATTTTTTACAGTTAAAAGAAAATTTGAAGTAACCTTACACGGGATGGACTCTTTTTCCTTTCCGAATCAACATATATGGATTTCCACTATCTGAAGAAATATATATATATAGAAAGCAGCAAGAAGTGTATAAATCTAAAATAGAATACCCTATATATTTCCCCACCATTAGAGAAACAATCCGAAGAGCTTTCCAAAAACACCGTACCCTTTTGGTTATACAGAAAGAATGTATACTACTGAATGGTCAGCAGTCTAGAGAAAAAGTAAAGTCTGCCGACTGGTCGGCATTCCAAAAAAATCATAGGCTACCGACCACTCGCGGCATACTAGACTTTCTTCTTGGGTTGCCGACCGAATTTATACAGAAAGAATGTTTTCCCCTGAATGGTCGGTAGTCTAGAGAAAAAGTATAGTTTGCTGACTGACTGGTTGGCAGCCTATACACTTTCCGTTAAAAAATGCCTTGCACAGATGGGGAAAAATGTGATATTCTGCGATTATTCGGAACATCCTGATATCATTATTGACCAATGACTCCAGGAAGTATGGGTATTATCAATTTTTCGGCAACCGTGTAGAATAACGAATCAAGGGGAAAAGAGACAGGTATGTATACATTTTTCTTCACTAAAATGGTACTTTTCAACATTAGATCTATCCCGAATTCATCTGGTCATTACTGTCAGTGAATCAACTGACGCTGCTGATAATTTGTGTGGAAATAAACAATCGAGTGGTGTAATTTGAAACACGTTTTCTTCAGTAATCAGCAGCAGTTGATCAGCTGGTGAAATTTGAATATTATTCTCAGCGTCAATTATTGCAATAACATGCATTTTCTGATATTGAAAATATTATTATTACTCTATTATTGATGAGACAAGGTTTGATGTCTGAATGAAATCGGAGATAGATGTGAAATTCCTCCTTCTTATAAGATAATGACAGTTCACTAGAGCCACACTACCCTTCGATAGTCAGCAATTTCAGCAGAATGTTGAGTCGAAATATTTGGAATGATTATAGTATGTCTGCTCACAAGTAGGTAAGATTTATTTCATTTCGGAATGGAAAATCAGCAGATTTATTACTTCCAGTTGAATTCGGAATATACCCATAGAGCACATGCTCCACAGTGTGGAGGATTTGACAGTTTCAGATTTTGTTAGAAGTTATGCGCGCATTCCTTAGATTCCTTATCCATTCAGTTCGTGAAACAAGTTTCCGTACCTGGACTTTCGATTTTTCAGACAATAATCATTGTGCTTTGGGGCTATAGCAGCAGCTGCTGTGCATGGGAAATATCGTAAGGTACATTTTCAAACTCACTATCGCTGCAACTTCCCATAGTTAAGAGGAGCAGGATACACCATGCATCAGTGCAATGAAAACATGTTTTCTCCGCCCCCACTTTTCATTGTTCAATATTGATTTTTTCGGAAAACAAAAAATATGGTGATATGAAGAATTGAAATATCTAGGTTCTCTCTGAAAAAATTCACCGATATTCTGCAAAAAAATCATGAACATTGCATTTTTCGAGTATATTCAGAATTTTTTTTTGAAAAAACTAAGACGAAAACTCAAAATCCGCTTCCAGAGAAACATTCGTTCATCCTTTGTGAAGAGCCCAGTATTTTTTGTTTCAGGAAAAAAAAAAATTTTAGAGGGGGAAAAGTGGGGGCGCGCGATCCCATGTTTTCCAACATTTCGACACCGATTCCTAGCGTCCTCACCGGAGAATGCTGAAAACTGTGTTTCAATATTGAAATAAAGGATTATTTTGCGTTTTTGAGATTTTACCAGTGTGATTCAAAAAGTAGGACACATTTACGTTTGAACGTTTGTACTTCAGCTATCTAGGTATCTAGCTATCTAGGTATATCATTTTGTATTATATAGAAAATATCGCCTATAATGGGACTCGTGAAACAAACTTTTTGACCAATTGCGGTAGCGGTAGACTTCGTGAGTGTTTCGAGTGTTTACTTCGAAGTTCAGGTTTTTGTGATTCATGGGGAGACTCAGATAGCCAAATGGTGAACAGCAGAACGAGGAAAAGACGAATTGATATATGTATATATATATAATTATTTACGTCTCACTTCAAACGACCCCCCCTCCTCTATATCTCAGCTATTATTGCTATCAATCGTGCGATTCTTACCAAATTTGGACTAGTATGAATTACCATTGATATGATCAGTTTTTAGGAAGAGAAACATCATTATGGACAGTGCCGTGCGTTTTTGTTGAAATTGAAATGGGTTTCATAAATCAGGATTTTTTGTAGGAACTAACTTTACTCATGTTTTCGAACCTCCATGTGCAGAAATTCAATCATTTTAAAATACTATAGAATGGGTAAAATTTCTCTCTTCATTATCAGCCCCGAATAAATAATGAATTCTAATTATTAACCGCAAATTCTGGAACGTTCAATAGCACCAGTACTACCAGTAGGTAGAAAATTATGGTTTACATAAAAAAACAAGGCACACTTTTTTTGTTGAACTCATCTTTTCCGAATGAATTATTTTTCCTACTCCCATTTTATAAGAAGTGAATTAATTATCTCGGATTTCTATCATGATACAGATCCTAACCAATGAAGACACGTTCTTTTCATCATGATAACAAATTCTTGGCCCATAAAAACACGTAGTACTTGGGTATAATCAAGTGGGTCTTTGTTTCTATATCCCTTGCTTGAGTTGGTTGACATTTAATTCCAAATGAAAATCATAATGACAACGCGAATGCGTCCAAAGTTCATGCAATTCATGTACTTATGATGTTGGAGAATGCTGAAATATAAATAGTGAGAAACTAATGATTGATTTTTGGAGCGATAATTTCTATAGGCCACATAGGCACTTTCTGGGATGAGAGTAAACCAGCAGACTCGCGTTATGGAAGCACGCGTACCAGTGTAGGTATATATATTTATGTAAAAACTCCACAAACGATATGATTTCCACAAAATTCTCAAACTCACGACATGTTTCGCTAATACAGTACCTTCGTCAGGTGGTATACTGGTACGGCCGAGTCAATTCAAAATATCTATTTATGTTGATATGCGATGGCGGTTATATTATGTTCTCGAGTCTTGAATAGCGTAATACATGCATCGAAGTCACCGATAGTCGATCTGATCATATTGTGTTCTCGCTCGGATTACGAAAATCATTCACATCATTTATAATACACAGGGTGAGTAATGAATACTTTTGATGAGATGCAATTTGGAAGCTCTTAGTCGCATATGTCAAATTTCTCTATCAATATTTTCATATTGATATAACTTCATTCAGATTTCCCCGTATTGTCTAAAAAAAATTGGAAATACAATACGGGCCATCGAAGTTGTCACTTCCGACTTGTGGTCCTACAAAAAATAGTGTATGAAACTATCATGATATTGAACTATCAATACACTCCCATATACATGGTTTCCTCGTGATCGTTGCATAGAATACTAATTTACCTTCGCAAAAATGCTGATGCTGATATCCTCCATAGAATTCATTTGAAAATTCTTATAACGATGAAGAACAATATTATGAGGTTCGTTTTCCTGTTGAAAGATGCCTCTTCATGAAAAATCGACCCCGTTTTATTTTAATAGAACCCCAGATACAGAATACCAGTCAAAATTTGGTAAAAATCGCACGACTAATAACTAAGATAAAGAAAGAGAGAAGCGTTTTTCCAAGTGTGGGACGCTGTATATGAAAAAAAAGCCATCTACTACGATGTGAAATTGCCATTTCAGAAATGACTCATCGTAATTTGCTGAAATTTTGCAGCTACGTTTCTCTATCGAAACTATTCCAGATGGCACTTTATGGAAAAAATCCAGATCCGGACATAGGAAAAATTCATGTTTCACTGATTTCTAAAGAGTTCACTTTGTGATCACTGTTCGCGAGAATTTTTATCAGAATCAGAAAGATCTGACGAAATGCCATAAGGAATGCTCTTCATTTTCAGGGCACGACACTGACCGGTTCAATGAAGAAATATGAAACAAAAACGTTCGAATGAATTTTCAATTTTGACCTGACTGATGAGGTAAACAGTACTTCCAACTGGATTCATGTAAATAGATTTTTTGTACATTTTTGTTGGGTAAAAATTGACTGAAAAGAGCGAACGAGAAAAAGCACAGTAGCACTATAACACTGATTTATTTGATGATTTGAAATGTTAGTTCTTGATCGAAATTCTAGATAGATATTAGTAGTCGTGCCCTATTTTTTATTTTATGATGTGACGTGTGATTCTTGCACTCAAGATGTCACTTTATTTCTCAAATGCTGAACATGGAAAAAGTTCAAATGTTTGCAATGTTCAATACCATAGAAGATTTACAGACCCAAGAATATGTATAGGGGTAAAACCTTTCTACGGCTATAACACACAATTGCTCTTGTTTTACTGTGTTCGATACGTCAATGAGGTACTTTGTATATCATCTATCTCCGTATCTGATATCACAATGACTCCATCGTGTTATTATTTCAAAAAAATCTCATCGCTCATGGAATGTCAAATGTGAATGTGTGTATAATAGATGAGTATTACTTGACAGGAAATCAAATGGCTACAAGGCGAGAAATCGAAAATGTCGCTGTTATCTATTATAGCCGTAGAAAAATTATGGCAGCATTCGCCAAACTTTATTCTCGTAGGAAATCACTATTTTTCCGTGCTCGTTAAACAATATACTAATTTAATTTATTACATAATCTGATCAATCACATCACAACGTGTGTAATCGCGAAAACACAAGCGGTCTTTCAATTCTGATTGGTCTATCAGCGTTGGTGTTTTCGAAGATGTACCCATGGATAGCGGAGCAAAGTCTGTCAGTTTGGCATAAAATAATTATATCTGTCGTCAGAATACGAATTGCTCGTTCATAAGA